GAGGAAATCAAGGGTGGAACCTTGAATTTTCGAAATAAACACATAGAATAACATCAAAAACTCCTTTTGTTTAAAATTAAAAATTGACAGTGGCAACCCATTGTTACCGTAATTTTTGCCCACCCTGTAATATTCGCGCGACACACTATTGCTGAATATTGCCTTCTCCATTCATGAGATGTAACTATAAAATTCATTTCAGCCGAGGACAGAGAAGATCACGGTATGTGTATGTGAACACACCGGCCCATAGTGATTACAAGATAAATACAAACCAATTTCAATTTTTCGTTAGAAAAAGTTCAGCTAATCTTGTCGCTTGTTTTTGCCTTATTAATCCAAATCCAATCTTGGTTAACACACTTGTACTTCACGAGACGTTTGTCAATTAATCTTTCTCCTAGCTTCACGCACTCGACATCCTTTCATCCATGTGGTTACATTTGCCTTCTCATTTACTGAGACCTTCTTCTCTTGGAATACCGAAGCCTTCGTTATTCCAAGAGTACTCGACTAGCGTGAGCTTCCCTCCCCACTTACACGGATGTTGCACCTGTGAGCGCGCACGGACAGGTTGCGGATGGAGTGGATTCAAAGGCACGGTTCGGGATTTTGCACGATAGCCTGGTTCCACCCTTTATCGTCGTAGACAGGAGGGCGACAAGTCTAGATATCGTGTCCCTTCCGTGGCCTAAAACTGCGCGATAAGAGCGCTAGAAGTTTGTTTGACCCGCAACTCAAACCTTCGTCCCCTGACACGCTTGTGCTGTGAGAAGAACAGCCGCAGTTGCGGCAGCGGCTGCATTGCGTTCAATGTCAATGACACTGAAGCAACTGTAGCTAAGATTGCGAAACTCTTCCAGCACTTCACTACTCTATAGCCAGGTAGAATGCTGCTGGGATGAAGGGGGTCCTTTTACCCAGCATAGTCGGAGGTTTTCAAGCTTTCTTTATGTTTTCCAAGCCAATTACCACCTCCGGCTTCATTACTAGAGGCTCTGATCTATCCATTTCATCCCGGGCTTGCCTTCTATAGAGATTTGATATCGCGTAGGATAAACAGAGCTTTTCCGATAGTACACTTTACCTTTAGCGCGCATCTACTGCAAAACACATCTATGTTCGGTCATACATTGCTGGTAGAAATGATACGATCATGACGCCAAGGCGCGCAGCATGAGGGTTATGGGAACCACTTGTTGTGAAATAACTCGAATGCCCTCCACCAGAATCTCTCTGCACTACATTTGACGCATAAGTCCACACCACGAATTGCACCATGAAATCTATTGGGGGAAGAAATGTGCCATTTTGCATTCCCCTCGCGATGGCCCTAACGAGATCCAAACTTGGGGCAAGTTTGCAGAAAGGCTTTGCGATATGTGTTTCAAAATTGACCAGACCTATGGTCGCTGCAGCAGAGAAAGTATTCCTGTGCATGGCATGAGTTGGATGCGGAAGAGGGAAATTGTCTCGGAATCGGAATAGGTGTAGTCTGTAGCACCTTCAAATCCAACAACCTCTTGCAAATTTTCCACTCACCTTTCGGTCTAAATTTCAAGGTGTGCTCTACCCCCATTAGAGAACCTAATCTCTCATACAGCTAAATCGGGCATCCGACAGTAAACACAGCACTTAACTGTCCGCGCTATCCCGTGCACTGATGTCGTAGTCCTCGTTGTGGCCTTCCCTTAATCCCTGTCAACCCGGATTTAGGAAAAGCGTGATGAAGCGAATCGACCAGTAGGCTTGAGAAAAAGTGCCCACAACACTGATTCCGAATTTAGCCGTGTTTGACAGCTGCTCATGAACCGCCATAAAGTCAACAGGCGGAACGGCCTAATAGAAACAGAGGAGCACATCAGAGACAAAAAGTGTCAAGCTCATGCCAAGGTCTGGAAAAGGCGATCAGAGCCCTTCGGTGGACATCAAAATTCCTACCATAGAGCTACTATCTCCAAACTTCAAGGACAAGGTCATGAGGAAGCCAGTGAAAGAGGAAGAAGTATTCACTGTTCGAGCAGCTGCCAATCCCTATCATGGTCCCGACACGGGTCTCGTCTATAGGTCGCTCATCACTGTCCTTTGAAGGGGAATGAAATGAAAGGAACGATAGTCTCTTCAACTGAACGTTGCTTCTGCGTGTTCGAAACATGCGTGCGAAACATGTTCAAGATTGACGTCATGCTAACCTTCCCATCCACAAATAACATCCTCAAATGAGTTGCCCCCATATCCCTTGATTTCAAAGTGCTGCAGCAACTTGTTGCTTACATGGATGCAACCTCTTCTGGAGGAGTATTAGTTGAAAAACGTAGTGCACTATACAGTGGTGGCCAAAAAAGCGACGCTTTGTTTCGGACGCAAATCAGCAAGCTTCAACCCGCACAAGTTGCCCAGATCGATGGAAATTCTTAGGCACAATTTTCCCGAAGCGTCTTTCCATACGCATGTATCTAAGCACCTGCTCACTGCCCTTCAGAATATGGGACGACGGCCTTTTGCCCGTTCGGGCTGGAACGCGGCAAAATGCGTCGCGATCCAGACGTTTTGCGGGAATTAGGCACGTCAAAACGTGTGCAGATTGCGGATAAAAACCGTAAGGTGCGCATAAAATCCGTGAGGTGCGGATAAAATCTGTAAAGTGCGGATAAATTCCGCAAGGTTCTGCGATTCGAATTACATTCCAACGCGTGGGATTTTGAGGACAGCGGTGATGGTAAGGGAACTCCAGCAGGAAATTATAAGAAGGAACCACCAGAGTGCTGTTATGGCGTTCATGTCGATGGGGGGGGACGGTGCATGCGGGGGGAGGGGAAAAGTGAGTGAGCCAATTACTACGTTTGGAACTGAGCCCTAAGAAGGACAGAGATTCTGGGGTGGCATTTTGTGTTCTTTCTGGCGTTCCTCCTTCCTCCTAGGCTTAGTCTTAGTGTCACCTACCATCGGCCCTGTCCGGAAGGTTTCTGTAGCGACTGTGTAGGTGTGGATATGTAGATTTTTGCGCCTATCCTCTGAGTAGAGTGCCCCGCTGTCCAAGTTCAGATCTCCGAGTAACCACTAATTTGTCGTTTAAGTCTTCTACGCGAGCGGTCGGAAGATTAATTCTGATATAACACAAATATAAAAATATCCAAATGTAGCGCTAATGGGGTGAAAGAGTAACAAGGAGCCAGGAATCGAAAGTTAGAAGATGTCCTTACTCTTTGCAAAGCGGATATCTATAGGCTCTTCCAGAGAGAGAGAGAACCGGTTTGCGTAAGGCGCTCAAAGAAAAGTTGTTGATGGCTTAATCTTTCCAAGAAGGTAAGTGACCTATTGGTGAGCCATGAGAAACAGTCATGAGGAAGAAAGTGCAGTCTTTCGTGAAATACTTATAAAGAGAACTGCAGACAAAAACAACAGAAAAAGTTTTTGGGAATAGGATACATGGAAGATGCGCAAATGAAGTATATAGAAAGTTAAACAGCTTGTACCGCGAGTGAAGTGAATGGTGAGGGTATGTTTATAAAAAGCGCAGCCTTTTGAAGGGCCTACAGATAAAGAGATCTGCGCACAAAGAGTCCCGGAGTATCGTTTAAGTGAGTTCAACCGACTTGTAAGCTGAGACTCAATTTGATGAATAACGACTTTAAGTCGTTATAGTCCCCTAAGGGCATGAGCGCGCGATCGGTGGCATATGTGGTTGACGCTTAAATAGTACCTCAGAGAAAAAAATATGAATAAAAAATTGTTGCTTCCTCGAACAGGAATTCCGTGTTGAAATTCAAAACAGCTTCTATATGTCTCACAATTCCTAACTAGAACCTTTTTTGAAAAGATCTTCAGGACGAGTTTTTAGGAAATTTGTAGGTGGAAGTATGATAATGCGTCGCAATGTATCATAGAAGTATCAGGTAACCAGGGACTAGAATATCATTTCATTCGCGTTGCCATGGTTAGCATATAATACCATTCGCCTGCCACACTCCGCGTGTTCCTTAAGATAGGTAGACGTTTGAAGAAGCACTATAATGAGTACTGCGAAATTGCACTATATTTCAACACTTGGCATCAAATATTACTCAATCGCTAAGTTACTCTGGTCTTCGATGCAAGGCGGTTGCACCACTCCAGCTCCGTATTTCCCTGCGCGTATCATGCAGACTGTCAGCAAGCTCATTTCACGAACAACTTATTGTTTACCAATGTCTATTTTCACCGAAGCCTTCGGTCTCATGCGCGCAGTAGCGTGCGGAGCTAAACTGGTCATTAAAGAATTAGCAAAAAGAGCTATGAAGTGCGCCTGAGTAGAAGACAACGAGGAAGTACATAATCAGGTGCAACGTCATGATGCGAAGACACTTTCAAGTTGTTGAGACAAGTCGTAGCTGACTCTTCTCGAGATGTTCGAATTGGGCGACATGTGGATGCTACGAGAAGAGGCTGCACAAGATTGCTCTAGAGCGACAAGCCATGATGCCGCAGTGCCAATGCGACTTTCAAAGAAGATAACGAGTCCTCTACAGCGATACCCAGATAGATTTTGTCAGTTCAAATAATGACTTTCCACTTCTCAATGTAGTAAGAAGAAGGTGTGATGGAAGAAGAAGAACAGTCAAGTGATGTCGTTCGGAGTAATCTTCAAGCATGATGCACTAAATGCAGAAGAGTTACAGGTGAAGAATCGGCGGCCTCACGATCTCTCGCTCGTAAGCCCCTCCTTCCACTGGTGCTCTATAAGTTTGCTGCATCATCATGTTCAGTGAATCTACTGGCAAATTTGGGAAACCTTCCCTAGGATTAGCGTCCATGAAGTCGTTGAAATCGCAATTTTTTCCTAATCTTTCTCCTGAGTAAGTAGAGCGTAGGCTGGTCTCCCGAACATGAGGATCCCAGGAGATTAAGTAAAAAACTGACATCGTGAAGAGAAAGAGAAAAGCGCTTCGGATTACTCTGGCAAAAACATGCTATCGCCATTACAACCGTGTCAACCCAGAATATATTTTTCCACTCGAAAAAACTTTAGTGGAGTGACTCCGAAGAAGAATGTGAACTCGCAACTGAGAACCAGCGACATTTCCTCTTCAACTGAGAGAAGTCCACGGTCGTCAGCTGACGATATTCGGTCGTTTTGTGGATCGGTAAGTAGTGCTCAACTCAAAATAGCTTCTTCATTCATGTTTGAATCAGACAAGTTACTGCTGTAACTTTCAGATGACAGACCTGTTTTCTCGATCATTGATGTACTTCTCACCGAATGTTCCGACGTCAACCAAAATCATGCCGACTCAAACCGAAACGAATAGCATAATATCAGCATCCAATCCACATGGCTATGGAAGGTTCTCAGAATTTGATTTACGCAATTTCATATCATGCCCCAATAGATCAGGAATATCCGCCTGAGTATTACTCGATAATTGCAGATCATTTTTCGAACTGGCGGCACGAGTCTCTACATTCCCAAAAAGCAAGGTTGTATTCGAAGCTCATAACGAGGTTCAAGAGGCAAGTTCAAGTCGCTATCCAGCTTACCTGTTTTCTCTCTTTAAAAAAATGTCTGTTGGTCACGGTTAGATATGCTGCTAGAAGAATGCTGAAAATGTACCTTCGAAACAAAGTTCCTCCTTCAAGGAACCATAAGAAAAGGCCCGGAACCCGAGGAGTGGACGTCTTCCTTGCCCTGTTGATTTCCGCTTTGATGCGACTCCCACCGTCCCTCTTCAACGCTAACGCTCTCTCAGCTATGACGGTGGGCCTTCGCCCCAACTGCGTTGATAGTGAGCCGTGCTAGATCGCCGAGGTCAGTTTCTTCGCTGCCAATTGTCGTTCTCAGAAGGTCCGCCCGTCTCCCAGCTAAGCAATTTTCCCTTCTCTGACCTCTGTTCCTATCGCGGGATCCTCCTTCAATTCGTGTTAATACACCCCGATGCCCTTCAAAGCTTTGAAAGAGATAGTCTCAATTCGACCCAACGACTATGTATAAGCATAGGATTCGAGTAGTGGTGAATGATGACAAAGCCAGATATATTCTAGAAAGAGTTTCATAACCACAAGTATCCAATTTGCATGCTATTGTCTTCGTCTTGTAGCAAAGGAGCGACCAAAAGCATCGCACCTCCCTTGTTAAGAAGTGGTTTCCCCAGCATGGCGTGCTTCTAAGGAAGGGAGCAGTTCAGTCACGTCTCCTGAGCGTCATCGAAACGCTATGGAAGGAGGTAGGACAACCATCGGAAAAAGTGCCAGGATGGGAGGAAACTCGTCAAATTCGAGGGAAAATTGAGGAAGTTGACCCAACAGACAGTGACCTATTGAATGATTCGACACTTACACCTGGTCGATGTTTGAACAGCTCTAGAGGCTATCAAAAAAGAATTGAGCGCATAATGTTTCCTATGATGCTGTCGATTTTTTTGCCGGATTGTAAACTTTTTACAATAATTTGAAAGTTACTTGGAATTTGGTCATACTCGAATACTTCTAGTGGAGTGGTTTTTCTTTCTCCCATTCAATATTATTTCTATACATATTCAGTGGAGAAAGCTTGCCTTTATCGCATATCAAAAGTTGAGTTGGTTTGATTCGGGAGAAACAAATTACGTCGAAAAAGAATTCCACCAAGACTTTTAAGCACTATTGTATGTAGAGAAAACTAAAAGATAAAAAAGCTTAGACCAAAACACTCAGTCGGAACTATATGAAAAACATGTCGATAAAAACTTTGTAAAGTCATGTGGCAGCCTAGTATTGGATTCTTCAGGTTCGAAATGCCTTTTCTGCGGCTCATCTCACATGTGTACGAATCCATAGTATCATCGATGAAAGAATTTATCAATTCCATTTTGCAGCTGTACACACAAGGAACTCTTCCTTCATTTGAAAAACAATCACAAAGGGGTACTACAAACCCGTGGAGGAAGTAAGTGCCATGAACTTTGCTTGAGAGAAATACTGTGTTCGGCACCAGTTCTTACTATTCCAAGGAAGAATTCCGAGAAATCATTAGAGGCGATTGCTGAGTTTAATTAAGTGAAGTTGGGACGATAGGTAAATTGGCATATTGGATTGGGTAGGGGTCCTACCTGTTGGGACGACAGGTGACGCTTTAGAGGCAGTGGCGCCTTACCAACCTCGGGGTAAGGCACCGAAGTTGGTGAGGCGCCACTGCCTCTAAAGCGTCACCTGTCGTCCCAATAGGTAGGAGCACCTTCTCGAAATCTGTGCAGAGACCTTCTACTTGGCTTGATCAGTCTTTGAATGCTGCACATATGTTGTGCAGCGCCAGGTCGCCCTCGTAGGGTGTCTCAGAAAGAAGCTGTAAAGTCAGTAGAGAAGGATATGTTAGTATGAAAAATTGTAGGGGTATCCATCCAAAACGATGCACACTCTGGCCACTAGACAGGAATGACAAACTTTCACTGAATAATGACAAACTTTCACTGAATTAAATTTTGCATCGAATGGCTTCTTGGCTTTTGCTATTTATGTATTTTGCGCACTCGCGGAGCGTCGTGTGTTGAGAAGGTTGAGCCAGAATATTTTCAGGTATGGCGCCTTGAAAAAGCTCCATGAAATAGGAGGAACGGCGCCACCAGGAAATACTAGGGACGAGCGCAAAAATAAGAACGGCTTCATTGAAATTAAGGTACATAAATAATTCTCAAGCAACGAGAGCAAAAATAGGAGCAGTGTATGAGTTGGAGATGCTACTGATTTTCTAAAGTGGTACAGCACGGCATCCAGTGAGCTGACAGAGTTGTCATCACTAGCTGCGCTTCTGAGAAAGAATAGCTGTATACTTTTAGTCCAACTCATGCTACTCGCTCTACAAAATAAAGTGATGCATTGAAAAACAAGCTGCTGTCCCATGATACAGTAAGCAAATCACAGAATGTGTCATGCACTCACATATTATATGTGAATGCATGGAGGGACGCGAATATAGTGACGAAATCACAGTGGCCTTGTTTCGCCAAAAAGGACAAAGCGAGGTATCAAACATGTCAAGGTGTGAGCATATCCTATCGAATGATGACCAATCTCCAAATGTTTTTCACGGAATCGGCAGTTGACATCAATTAGAACCTACAAAAATTGGCCCTTGTTCGCACACGTCGTACAGAACTTCGTTCTTATTCTCAAGCTTATTTCCTTTGTGCAGCTACTAGGAACGCATTCCAACGTGCTGTTTCGTAAACCATTTCAACATCAAAATCAACCACTTTGAATCCCGAGCCGACACAAACTTGATGAAACAAATTGTTCTGAACAGCAAACCTGATGAAATTTTTCCCGAAATTACATAATGGATAGCATTTGGTTCAAGTTTTTAATCCCACAAAAACGAAAACTAAGGGAGAACCAAGGAACGCTACGGTTTTCTCCGATATCACAGGCACCCCTTTACTCCGGTTACCGTACCACCGCTACGAGAAAAAACCATGTGTGCTTCGCTCAGAGCTGGACGGCGGTGTGGCCGTGCACCTTTCAGTTGCACATATTGGAAGGGATTTGGAGGTAGCCTCATCGGACTAGAACACTGATTCTTTCCATGTAGTGTACAAAACATTCAACAGCAACGCTCAGTCTCTCTCTGCGTGAGTTACAGGGTTTCGTGGCTTCCAAGATAGGAGTGAATGTTGTTAGAATGAAGAGCATGCATACCGACCTGAGCAATTGATAAATAGTTCTAAAGAAAGCCGTTGCACCGAGCCATCACTAAACTTTCTCACGAAGGTTTGAATGGGTCGACACTAAGCTTTGAAGCCTCTGTGATTGACTAGTAGGGTTAACCGGTAGGAAAAATGCGTCGGCGTCTCCTTGTGAAGCGAACAAACAGTGTACGCTGCCAGCGGTGGAACCCTGTCCCACATCTATGAGATTGCCTCCGTTGTGAGATTATTTGAGAAAGGGATGGCCCTGAATAACACAGTGGGAAGAGGCCGTGAAACACGGATGAAAAGTAGTGTTTTTTGTACTACAGGATACTTTGGAGCACGATGAAAATCGTATCGAGGACGTGGTGTACTAGTATGACCCTCCCAGCAAGCAGCAAGTATCAGGGAGTGACTAATCGTCTACATACAAGAAAACATTTACTTGGGTCATATGCGCGGTCGGAGGATCAAATCCTGGAGCGTGTGCCGTCCAAGCCAATCAAGCCTTCCAGTCTTCGGAGGCCATCAAATGGAATCGGAAAATTGGAAGCTCGGCCGGCCTGGGGACGAAGAAGAACCTCGAGCGAACGTACGATGGGCTAACCAAAACGAACAAACGAAAACAACGATAACACTAAAACACAAATAAATACAGAATTCGTAGCAACAGTGTAACTCTCAATGACTTGTCAAGTAAGAGAGCGAGCTGTAGATAGAGGAGGTACATCGCGTCTTCCTCACAGAGGTAGAGAAATGGAGCAACTGATTCTGCAAAGAATATTTTATTGGGTTGTCCGGAAAGTTTCCGCCGTTTTTTGAGCTCACTTTTGGGTGCTTTATTTCTGGATCACTTTAAAGAAACTGCTAATACTTTATATATCATCAGAAAGCACGTTTCTCGCTTTATCTATACCTGCTGCTTTCTAACCCAGAACCACTTTTCCAATTTCTCTTTGCGGTCTAGAAGACAAACTACTCAACACCCTGCTTTGCACTGGTTTCTTATTTCCACTCAAACTTGCTTAGAAGTATGCGGAAGCAAGTTGCGATATCAGCTAAGCATTTCGTTCTGAGTCCACAAAAAATATGCTATGGAGTCGTAATTCAAAAGGCGTCCTGGCGATGTTGAAAGTTTTGAAGGAGATTGGTGATATTACAGAATGATAAAGATCAGCTGAGGGTTTTGACCGGATCAAATCTGCATGGAACTTTTGAACAAGCTGCTCCTAAACCGGGCGTAACCCGAGCAAGGTTTTCAAACATAGCGGTGAGGGTAAACCCCCGAAGAAGTCGGAAATTGGGTGGCGCCGACCATTCTTCCCACTGTTGCGCAGCCCCACTTCCAGCACTGCACAAGTTGAAGTAGCTGAGCTACAAAAATGTGCTGCAAATATTTTATACAGTAGACCTATTGCTTGCCAACTATCACTTTTTCAATCATCTAGAAGGTATACTTTGAGAGATTAGACATTGAGACCCAACATGGTGGTGAAACGACATTGGCCGAGTTCTAAACTCAGATCTTGTAGGCGAAGGTATCCTACTATATATAATCGGCTAAGCGGTTGTGTGTGTGTCTGACCGGAAATTCATAACTTCACCCCCTTTGGTCCCAGAGCGCTGAAACTTCTAGGATATATAGGGGGCCGGTGGTGAACACCGATGACGGGTGGCGGGAAGTGATAGCCACTGATAGGAGCTGATAACGGACGTCGAAATGTTGATGTCACCAATTTCGCTGCACCGTTCGCGTTGACAGTGGAGAGTTTGCACTTATGTATGATATGTGGGATGAGGCGGGGACCAAGATGTTGAGTGAACGAATGTGGTAGCAACTGATAAGGACAGATAAGGAGCGTCAGAGCGTGGATACCACCAGTTTCGTTGCGGCCCTTGCGGTTACATTGGAACCTTGGCTCTCACATGTGGTAATGAGGATGGACGGGAACACGGATAGCGGATGATTAGAAGTGATAACAAGCGATAACGGATGATAAGGAAGTTTTGATTTTCAGTACTGCTAATTTCTGCAGCCTTCGTGGCGACAGTAAGTATTAGCTCCTACACGTTGCGTGGAGGTTGAAATCGGGACGCCGATTGCGAACAGGATGAACTGATAGGAAATGACAAGGAATGATAAGAGCGTTTGAATGCAGGCCCTACATCTTCGTTGCAATCATCACTGGCAAGCGATCAAGGTGGCGAGGGTTGAATGTAGGTGACAAAAAGTGGTATGAGCGGCAACTGTACTGATAAAAGTAACGGCGGTTGAGCGTGCACTTAATTGAACTAAGTTAGGTCTCTAGCACGTGGAAATGTTCCACTCCTATCCTTTCATCAAAGAAGCAAAGAATGTTGAGCTGCTCAACTATCTGGGCATGGACCAATAGCGAATTTCCATCATATTTGCAATCCCCATGGTGGTTAGATGCTGATTGATTGGTTATATTTCACTTACACACCGATTGTTCAATTGTAGAAACTCTATAAACCGCTAAATCGTCCGAACTCGATATGAATGCTAGATGTTTACGAAGTCATGATAAGTGCAATTTTCATTCCGCATCTACTGCGCGCGTTACGCTACAATCTTCAGCGAGATTGGACGGCCTTTGAAATTCATGTGACACATCTTCCAAACATCTTACTGTTAGTTTCTCAGCCACGTGACCTAATATTCAGCAAGTTGTTCAGTTTCACTAAGCCTACCATGTGATGCGCGCTGCGGAGCTAAACTGGTATGCATTATAATAGTTTTTGTTTCGAGCAAAGGCGCTTCGATTGAACCGACTGATATGCGCTTTTGAATTTGATAGTCAAAATCGGCGGAAACTTTCCGGACAACCCAATATATCCTGCTTTTCACACATACTCACTTTCTGCTGCGCTACACCCTCTTACTCTCATCTGCCCCACGATGACACTGATGATAATGACCGTCACGAATACGACCCCCATGACCCACCCTTACAAATACGACTCCTCTTGTCGAGACATTCCTCGACCGATATTCACCCTGCCTTACAATGGGTGTAGTGTGTCCTAAAATGCACAGCATTTCTTACAAGTCCTCATAATTCGGTTACGAGAAGTCCTGGAAGGCGGAAACTAAGCGGATATAGGCCCGATAAGGCGGGTAAATATTAATGGTGGGTGGGCATGTACTGAAAAAGGCGGAATTTGTTTTCGAAGCTACAACTCGGTGGTAAAAATTCCAGGGGACCGGGAAAAAGGTGGATAGAGGCCGGCGAAGGAAGGGAAGTGAATTTTTGATGGTAAGTGCGGCATGCATCCTAAGTGGGCGAGGTTTCCCACTAAGCATAGAGATCGGGTCGGAGAAACTTCAAAGACCGGGGAAAAATTAGAGTCTGACGAGGAAGGAGAACGTGAATGGGACATGGTTTGAAATTGGCGGAGCTTATCGCGAGGCTAACCGTCAAGAGGCAGTCTGGAGACCGGAGAAAAGTGGACAACGGTCAGCGAAGTAGGGGAGCTTAAAAGCCATCGGTGGATGAAGCATGGGTCAAGAAGTTAGAATCTAGCCTAATAAGTCGAGTTTTCGTACTGCATCAGACAAAATTTCAAAATTTACGTTGCACCATTCCACATTGCTGTGTTGTGCGAGCAATGACGTGCGACGCCAACTGGTAAAACAAACTTTGGGAGGTATTAGTTCGAACGTAGAGTATTCGCACTAGTATCCCTGCAGTAGGAAGCGTCACATCCTTGTGCTTCAAACTTGCCGAGTCGTTTGAAATGCACATCTTTTTGCCATGGCTCCCACCTCAATCAACCGGTATCAGACGAAAATGAAAACAATCCAATAATTACGAAACGCGAATAGCATTACGGATTGATGGCTAGCTTTTCAACACTTCTTGTGCGTCCCTGAGTGTGACTATTTCTATCTTCATCATTCACTGACAGGAACACCAATGGCTTATGCATAGAATTACGAAATGGCATAAAAACTTCAGAATCAAAG